CTGCGCGGCCGGCCTGCGCCCTGCCCGTCCCTCGCGGGGTGCCTGCCTTACCGGCACCTCAGAAAGCACCGGGCGGCCCGGCCTCCGTCCTCGCGGGGAACTGGACGCTCTCGGGAGCAGGCGGCTGTTTGGGGCTTGAACTGCGGAGCTGGCCCCCGCCCCTCGGCTGCTGCTCGCTCTGAGCGCCTCCCCGACCCCGTCAGCTGCAGGCCGTGGCCTCTGTCCAGGGGGTCGTGGGGAGGGCCTCTTCCTGTCACTGCTTCACACCATCCTCTGCCCGGCCGGGCGCCAGCGGCATGTCCTCACTCCTGCAGGCCTGGCTTCCTGCTCCGCGGGCAAGTGCTTTGCAGTTTAGCCGATTGTAACTGCCGATCCCTTTACCTGCGCACGTGGGAAGTAGTGATCATGGGCAAGCCTCGGTCGGGGCGACGTTTTCCTGAACAATCACAGTGACCCAGGGGCCGAAGGTACAAGTGAATCTGACAATCACGGCTCCTTTCTCCAGGAGATGCTGCACTCCCCCCGCCCCTCCCGACGGCCGGGCCCTGCCCTGGGGGCTGCGGGGAGGTGTGTGCACTGTTTCATGGGGGTCGTCTGGGTGTTCCTTCCTGTGTTCACTTTCTCTGAAAAGCTGGGGGATGTCAGCGGCCACACGGGAGCCGTCTGGTCCCAAGAAAGCCAGCGGCTGGGCTGCCTTTTCTCAGGGGCCTGCCTTGGCCTGTCAGCCTCACCTGCTCAGAGACACGCACTTTGTCCCTTGTCGCCTCTGGGCAGGGCCTTCTCCTTCGTGCGGTGCGTGGCCCGCGTGGCCCTGGGAGCTGCTTCCCCTTTTCCTGCAGCCCTGGCGGGAGTAGAGGGTGCTGTTGTCTGACAGACTCATCCCTTCTTTCCCGCCCTGCCTGGGGATCACCCCGCCCTCCACCTCCCCTCCATGGGGTCATTGTAGAACCTCCTGAGGAGCTGTCTGTCACCTGTCACGGGCAGCGCTGAGCATTCATCTCTGTCGGGCGAGGCCTCCCTCCCACGACATCCCAGCATCATGCCCCAAACTGGGCCCAGGAAGTGAGTCCGGTTCTAGATGACGTGTGCGTATATAAATGTATATAAACAATGAGCTTTTATCACAGTGGCCTCCGCTCACTTAGAATCGGGGTTTAATTTAATTTTGTGTTTAGAGTGGAGGTGTGGGGGCCCGGCGTCTGTGGGAGGGGCCACCTCTCCGTCCCCCATCTCCGCCATTGCTGCCTCTGTATGGAGGTCTGCGCCCCGTTCTCTGCACTTCCCTCCAGGGGCTGTGGACCCCGATGTTGCCAAGATCTTGGTGCAATAAAGTAACGAGGTTTTGTGAGTCTTGCTATGTCTTGTTTCTTTTCCTTTGATTCAAAAAATAAGAATTTTTAGCCCTGGCTGGCTTGGCTCAATGGATAGAGTGTTGGCCTGCGGACTGTAAGGTCCCGGGTTTGATTCTGGTCAAGGGCACATGCCAAGTGTGGGGCATGCAGGAGGCAGCCAATCAATGATTCTCATCATTGATGTTTCTATCTCTCCTCCCTTCCTCTCTGAAATCAATAAAAATAAATTAAGAGATGATCATTTGAAAAATACATATTTAAAATATATATATGTGTGTGTATTTATTTATTTATTTATTTTTAGCCCAGCCGGTGTGTCTTAGTGGTTGAGCAGCAACCCTAAGGTCATGGTTCGATTCCTGGTCAGGGCACACGCCGGGGTTGTAAGCTCAATCCCCAGAGTGGGGCAGCCGATCAATGGTTGGCTATCGATGTTTCTCTCCTTTCTCTGAAATCAATAAAAAACATTTTAAAAATATTTTTAATCATTGCTTTTTAGAGAGGAAGACGGGGGGGGGGCAGAAACACCTCCTGCAAGCCCCCTACGGGGGACCGAGCCCAGGATCCTCTGATCCTCCTTGTCCAAGTGAGCAGCTGGTGCGGGCGGGCGCCTCTAGCTCTGGTGGGAAAGGGAAAGCAGGTCTTCTCTGCTGCTTTCTGGCCACAGTTAGGACGCCTCCCATTGGCGGCCAGCGCTCCCCGGGACCAGGGGGCTGTGACCAGGGAAAGCTGCTTAAGGAACATGGACTCTGTTCAGACGATGCCCCCCTACCCCATCAGTGTCACCGCCTTGGGAATTCTGCTGCCCCCTCCCCGCCCCCCACTCCTCTGTCGCCACGGGCGCGTGGCCAGCTGTCTCGGGCGGTGGGGAACTTGGAGACAGCTGGCTACAATCAGGTTCCATTGCACACACATTCCCAGTGCCACGCGCGGAGGAAATTGCAGCTCTCACAAAATCAAACCTGGGGCCTTGCAAAGCAAGGCGATGCCTGCGTGAGCGTGCACTTGTGGTCTCCGGCTCACGGAAGCGCCCTCCCTTGCCCTTCCCCTGTGCCACCGCCCTGGGCGTAGCCTGCAGACAGGGTCAGGCAGAGGTCCCTGCCTTGGGTTTATTGAGGCCGCCTGCATGAGTGTCCCTCAGTCTGAACACGGGCTGGCCCGCTGCCCCTGGGCTGGGAGGGTCGGGGGCTGGCTTCCGGAAGGGTCACCGCCCTGCCCTGTCACAGTCACCCCCGCCCCTTGGCCTCAGGTTGCAGGAGGTGGGGAAGGTAGGCTCAGGCGTTCCTCTGGAAAGCGGGAGGCATCCTGGGGCGTCCGTCAGCCCTCGCTGCCCTCTCTTCCCCACCACGGCCTGGGCAGAGCGCCCCCCGAGGAAGAGGCTTGGAATTGGGTGAAAGGGAGCCTTGGAGGACATCGGGCTTCCTGAGGCTCTGGTGGCCTCAGCGGCACGTGGACCCCCAGCCCGTCTCTCCCTCACCTGTCCCTGGGCACCCGGGCTCATGGCGGGAAGGGGAGGGGGAGGGGGAGGGGGTTCCTTCCTCACCAGACCCTTCAGCTGAACCTCCTGCCTCGCCCTGATGGGAGAGGAGAAAGGCAACAAAACAAATCCTTAGTTTTATTATTATTATGTTTTAATTCTCTTTTTTCCCCCATTGATTCCAGAGAGAGGAAGGGAGAGGGAGAGAAGCATCAATGTGAGAAAGAAACGTGATTGGTTCCCTCACAAATGCACCTGGATCAGGGATCGAACTGGTGTGCCCTTGACTGGAAATCGAACCCATGACCCTTTGGTGCGTGGGCCAGTGCTCTAACCTCTGGGCCACTGGCCAGAGCAGGCCAGGCTTTGTTAAAACCTTTCACTAAAGGAGCTATAGGCCTGGGCGTGACTGTCCACCATGACCTCCCAGTTAGGAACAGATGATCAGCTCACCCTGCGAAGTTATTTCCCATTGAACCCCCTTTTTCACCACCTTTGTATACTACACACAGGGGTTGCTATTACAGGTGGAAATACTCTACACTGCTCTGTCCTTGCCCTTCTCACTGGGAACCTTCTCACTTGGTAGATGCATCATCGCTTTAAAACAGTGGTTCTCAACCTTCCTCATGCCGCGACCCTTTAATACAGTTCCTCGTGTTGTGTTGACCCCCAACCATAAAATTATTTTTGTTGCTACTTCATAACTGTAATTTTGCTACTGTTATGAATCATAATGTAAACATCTGATATGCAGGATGTATTTAGGTGACCCCTGTGAAAGGGTCGTTCGACCCCCTAAGGGGGTCGCGACCCACAGGTTGAGAACCGCTGATGTAAAACATGTTTTTATCGATTTCAGAGAGAAAGCGAGAGAGAGAAACATCGATGATGAGAGAGTCATTGATTGGCTGCCTCTTGCATGCCCCCTACCAGGGATCGAGCCTACAACCCGGGCTGGTGCCCTGACCAGGAATCTAACCGTGACCTCCTGGTTCATAGGTCGATGCTCAACCCCTGAGCCACAAGGGCCGGGCGTGCTCCCTTGCAGGAAAGTGGAACAGCGACCTGCTCCTTGCTGAGGCCTGAGCCGGGGCCTGAGGAAATGTGAAACTCTGCCATAAACTAAGCGCAGAAAAAAAAAAAAGATTTTGCTTAAAAGACTTCCTTCGTAATTCTAATTCTTGAGATTATGTAAGGAAGGGAGGCGCCAGTTTAAAAAACCAAGTTGTTATAGGTGATCGACCTCTGAACCACAGACCACGGCGAGGCCCGCAGGGAGCCTGACCCATTTTCAAGGTTCTCTGAAGAACTGACACCGTGAGGCCCGAGAAGGGGGTGGGGCAGGGGCAGTGGGGTCTGGGTCGGAAGCCTCCACTCTGTGAGTTCCCATCCTCACCAGGGGGCCTCCAGGAGCCTGGGGCACCCGCCTCGCCTTTGAGGTCTCTCCGGGTTCCAAGGCTGGTAGCCAGGAAGCTCACCGACCCGGAACTCCTAAGGGCTCTAACCTGTGACCTCTATGGGCCTGTCTCCAAAGCTGCCTTAGGGAGATGAAGGCTCCCTGCGGGGATTGTGAGGAATGGAATGTCCTGGCGGTGCCCCACAGGCAGGATGCATAGTAACCCCGCCCAGGGGAGGCGGTGCCCTATTACCGGTGAGCGCGGGCGGGGTTCTCGCCTGTTTATCCTGTGGCCTCCTAGTGATTGGTCGCTCAACCATGCGGAGTGGGGACTTGCAGGTTGAAAACACGGTATAATGAAACGATGGTACTTACAGGAATGTGTAGCCAGTCAGGTTCCCTGCTCATGGAGGTGATTAGCATCGCCCCAGAATGCCTCCCTATCCGGGTCTACCCAGTCCGGGAGTCAGGTAGCAGGTTGGGAGTGGAGATGGTGACACTCACCATGTTATCTTTCGTTCCTGAGCTTTGGTCATTGAGCAAGAGTTCCGACGGCCGGGGACACCTCATACTGGTCAGAGAAGAAAGCGGCTAAGGAATGCCTTGAGCCTTCCGGGGACTCCGGGCCGAGGGTAGTAAACATTGGGGAGAGCCTCTCCACTGTGATGACTCCCAGACAAAGGGGGGGCAAT